GGGAGAAAGGAGATAGAGAAGGGGGTTGAGGGGAAAGAAAGAGGGTATAACAGAAATGTGGAAGAGAGAGGAGAGGGGAAGACAGCATTTCATGTAGGTCACTTCCTTATCCAGGGTAGTCTTCAGACAGAAGAGTGACCACAGAAACTGACACGTCTAGCAAGCGGAAATCTTTTTGATAAGTACAAATTTCATTATGTGCTTGTTTTAAATACAAAGAAGATACACATAATATATAGGACAAAATTCGAGACCTGAAAATTTCTTCCTTAAGACGTGTGTGATTTGCAATGTGTGTGCTAGACAGTATTTGAGTATGTATAACTGGGTGAATATTAGGAGGTGGGAGATGGAGAAGAGGAAATCGAGAGAGGGGGAGAAACAGAAGGTTAGAAAAAGACGAGAGAAAAGGAGTGGAAGGGGGAGGGAGAAAGAGATGAGGAAACAAAAAGGTTGAGTGGGGGAGGGGGAGGAAGGCGGGGGATGAAGACAAATAAGGGGAGAGAGAGTAGATATGTGGCATTCCCTCGGTCAGCTCTACACTAGGGTTCCTGCACTTTACCCTTAGAAAACACCAGATCGGAAACAGACATTGACGATCGTGGTTCTCCATTCATTTCTCTGATTAGATGCTCCAAAAAATCTCACACCATCCTTGTGCTTCCCCGTCACCCATCAGCTCAAATTTTTTACAGACATTTTTCTGGGTCTGCTCATGTCTTGTTTGCCTTCTATTCATCCAGTGAGAGCAAAATGTTCAAAGCCCTCTTGTCCAATCAAACCTTCCAGAAACAGCATTTGCAACTTCTGTAAGGTCCTCATAAGTAAGCAGCCCACCTGGGCTTCTTTCAGTACTTCTTTCTTTGATTTCCTATCAGTCCATGAAATTCTCATGTCTCCCAAGAAATCATATATATATATATGTCTGTTGTTTCTATTTTATTTTCGCTATCTGTGGTAACTGTCCAGCATTCACAGCTGCATAGAAGGGTTGACCACACATCGTCTTTTAGACCCCTTCCTTTAGTAGGCATTGAGATGTTTCTATTTTGCATGATTGAACTCATTTTATCAAAGCCATCTTCAGCTATTGAGTTTCTTCGTTTTAGTTCTGTAAAAATTTTGTATTGGATGTAATTATATGACCAAGAAATTTAAATTGGTGAACTTGTTTCATCTTTAAACCTTTGATAAGGCGATTACAACAACTGTTTACTGCTTTTTTGGATATTACCTGCACTTAATGAACATTATTTTGTCAAAGTCGTTAAAGCACACTTCTTTACTCAAACAAAAAAAAACAACCCCAAACAAATACACAAACAAGCACCTGTCCTTGTAGATGTGCAGTATTCCCTTAGTCAGCTCCACGCTGGGGTTTCCGCAGAAGAAGTTGATGGTGGACGGCATCTTGCCTGTGGGACTGTGACTCTTCGGACGTGTAGCTCCAGAACCGCTGGGCGTCGCCGTTGACGACGATGGAGTGTGTGAGCTGCTGGGCCTATCATCTGGCTCAGACCGGCTCTCTCGCTGCCTGGCTGACGGGTGTGTTCTGGGGTGAACCTTGACCTGAAGGGGGAAAAAAAAGTGAAAATAAAATTAAAGCAACAGGAAAGTGGTTTCTTGGGGGACTGATGAGATTTTCATGGAAGGAAAAGAAATCAACTAAGGTAGTACTACTACTAATAATAGATAGCATTTGTTCAGCACAAATTCCTGCTCAACAGCAAGCTCTATGTGCTTTACAATCTTTAGTATTTGAAGAAGCCCATGTAGAAACGACAAATGCTGTGGGACACTTTATAGACATAAATCTGGTTCTCCCTGGCAAAATTTCAGGCAAACGAGCTGTGGGTAAAGCCAGAGAAACCAACTTGGACAGAAGTAGAAACAAATTTCAGGCAAAGAAGTTTTTATTAGGAGTCCTAGTGTTCAGAGGTTGGTTTGATTGACTAAAGAGAAGTACAAATCGATACAATAACGGTGATTTAATTTCAGGAAAATAGCAACAAAGCTATACAGAAACAACAGAGGGGAAAGAAAGGAAGTAAGACATAGTAGTAGCACCCTCCATTCACCCACATAAGAGGTTTCAAGTTCTATGACAACACCTAAGAAATATTGTAAATGAAGCTCAAACTTAGCCTGTGGGTGGTTGATGGGTGTTCTGGTGTGGTTTGCTCCTTCTTTCCTATCAAACATCTATCATCCTTAGTTCTCCTCCTTCAGTTTTGTGTATATTACTCTAATCTCTGGCACTTGTATGATCGAATTGTGTTGCAAGTTCTATACATCTCTAACTAAAACTAAATCTGTCTGAGCCAAACGTTATCATAATAACAAAATGCTTTGACTGTGAGAAAAAGAACCCGAATGAGCAGGGAGATGAAAAAGAAGAAAAAGAAAAAGAACAAAAAGATATTAAAAAACAGATGACAAGGAACTTTACCGATACTTGCTGCACCTCCCTTTCGCTCGCTGCCGAAGAGTTGGCAGCCAGTTCCCTCCCCTCCTCCTCCTCTGCCACATCGACGTCTTCGGACTCAGCACTCATCCTGAGGAGGTCTTGCCACACTGACAGAAAGAAAAGAACAGGTAAGAATAATTAAGTCGAGGTCC